GGAGGATGAGGGGGAGGGGGTCGGCTTCCGAGGCGGGCCGAGGGTCGGGGCCAGGGCTTCGAGGATCCAGGGCTCGGGGGGCGTCGACGTCGACAACGTCGGCGTGCTCGCCTCTGAGGCTATGGGCGCTTCGAGGACGTCGACCTCGACGGCGTCCACGTCGACGTCGACGAAAAGTCCACGTCCACCTGGGGCGTCGAGCCCCCGAGCGGTCCTGGGCTGCGTTCTGGCCGGGATCACGGGTGGGGTCCGGCCGTGGCCTTCGAGAGGCCCTAGGCCCTCGAACCTCGACGCCGCAGCCGCGAGCGACGATGACGACGACGACGAGAAGACGACGACTGCCGCGACGACGAACGCCGACAGCTACGTCGACGTCGGCGGCGACCCCAACGACGACGACGACGCCGACGCCGACGACGACGCAACGACGACGACGACGACGACGACGACGACGACGACGACGACGACGACGACGACGACGACGACGACGACGACGACGACGACGACGACGACTGGGGGGGCCATCGACGACGAAGACCAGAGGTCGTCGCCGCCGTCGAGGTTGTGGTCGCTCGTCGTCGCCGTCGCGCTCGTCGTCACCGTGGCAGGCCTGAGCTGGATCGAATCACAAAATCGGATTGCCGGACACGGAGTCAATGGCGCCTGAATCGGCGTGGCATCGGATCGGTATCAGATCGCTTGGGATCGCAGATCAGGCTCGGGACCTGCAGGCCAGAAAAGGAACAACGGAAAGCGTGTCAAGTCGGACCGAAACGAGATGGCTGGATGCTCGCTCTGGGGACCTTCCCAGCAGGGTCCAGAATCGAATCGATAAGTTAGATTGGCGATCGAAATGAATCGGATCGGCGGAACACGGAAACCAAGTCGCGAGAAGTCGAATCAGTGGTAATCGGCAAGCTAGTAAGGTCTTTACTGAGAAACCGACAGTCAAATCAGAATCCGAAATCGAATCGAATCGGAATCGAAATCGGTAGATATCGAATCGAGTCGAGTCGGAGGAGTCGAATTGAGCTCTGCGTTCCTGGAGCCACTCGCTCCACTCATGCTTCGATGCTGCGCCAAACGCCCGTCGATCTGAGCCGATTCGAATTCACTCGAGGCGCAACCTAGCTGGAGTCGAACAGATCCGCTAGGCGGTCCCAGGAAGGTCCCCAGAACGAGCATCTAAAGATCGGAGCCGAAGCCCCAAGATCGGCTGCACGCAAGAGTGACCCCGACCACTGGTGACCTCTGGTGCGCGGCTTTTGGGGGGCCGCCGGGGGGCCAAGCGCAAGCGCGCAAGACGCTACTACCGCATCGCGTTCGGCGATCGGGGTACCCCACTGGGCCCGCACCAGAGGTCACTCCGGCGAAAGGCCACTCTTACGTGTAGTCGACAGGATCGGATCGGATCGGAATCGAGGCCGTGAGCAGCCCCTGCGCGGTCGCCGGCGCCTCTGCAGGCCGCCGTCTCTTTGGACTGCCGGTCGTGGGTCGGAACGCCCGCGGCCGCGGCGGATCGGGCCACGCCCGGACCGGAGCCAGAGCCTGGGGCTCGGATCCGAGTGATAGTCGGGCCGTGAGCAGCCCCTGCCTGGTGGCCACCGTTTTGTAATTCCCACCAGCCCTCTGGGCTTAGGTGGTTTAGGGAGTTTCCTCGGGGAGGGGTTTAATCACTGTTCCCTATTGATGTACACCCCCTCCCCTAGGCGACTGGAAGCCAACCCAGGTCCATGCGGGCCCTCCCCCCCATCCCTTGTAAAAAACAATACAAAACACACTCTGTCTCCAAATTCGAAGCATGCGCAGCGAACCCGATGCGGCCTCCCCCCCACCATCCCTGTCAACAAAACAATACAGAGTACACTTGGCGGCGGCGGCGGCTGCGGCGGCTGCGGCGGGGGCAGCGGCTGCGGCGGCTGCGGCGGTGGCGGCGGCGGGGGCGGCGGCGGCAGCGGGGGCGGCGGCGGCGGCGGCGGCAGCGGTGGCGGCAGCGACTGCGGCGGCAGCGGCTGCGGAGGCGGCAATTTGGCAGCAGGGGCGGCCGCGGCGGCGGCGGCGGCAGCACCAGACTGGATGAAGGTGGGGCGCTCTAGGCCCCCAAAGGGTTTGAGATGGAAGCGCTCTCTTCACGTCTCCCCTTCCTTCCTCTGTTCGTTCCTTCTTCTCCCTCCTCCACCTCCCTCCTCTCGTCATTGCCATTGTTCTTAAGAGGGCCCGTATCGGTGGCATTTTAAGAGAGCACAGAAGCAGAGAAGCAGCACTCCTGCTCCAGAGCAGAGACGCAGAAAAGCAAACAAAACAAATAAACAAAACAAATCATAAAAGCAATAATCTGGGATAGTACAGACAGCGAGGCGAATCCTTGCGTAGCATTTTTTTCCCAACCCTCCTGTGTGTTGGGTCCTCGTTTTGAGTTCGCAGCGCCGCGCTCCATCCTTCCTCCTCCCCCTCCTCCTCCTGCTCCTCTTCCCCTCCCCCTCGCGCTTCGTTCCCATCCCCCCCGTCCCACTTCCCATCACCACCGTCGTCATTACCCTCGTCGTCATCGCCATTACTGCCATAATCACCATCACCATCATCGCCACCTTCATCATCATCATCAACAACAGCATCGTCATCATCATCATCATCATCATCATCATCATCATCATCATCATCATGATCATCATCATCATCACCATCACCATCACCATCATCATCATCATCATCATCACCAACAGCATCGTCATCATCATCATCATCATCATCATCATCATCACCATCACCATCACCATCACCATCGTTATCATCATCATCATCATCATCATCATCATCATCATCATCATCATCATCATCATCATCATCACCATCATTGTCCCCATCATTGTCCTAACCTTTCTTCACCTTTGGCATCATCATCATCGTCGTCGTGGTCGTCATCATCATCATCATCACCATCCATCTCCATACTATTCGTCATCCTCGTCGCCATCATCATTCTCATCACCATTTCGGCACACCCCTCACACGGTTCGTGGTCCCTAGGGACGTCCACCGAATGCCCCAGTGGCAGGGTCCACATGCGGCCGCCCCGACCATGTCGGCACACCCCTCACACGGTTCGTGGCCCCTAGGGAGCTCCACCGAAGGCCCCAGTGGCAGGGTCCACATGCGGCCGCCCCGACCATTTCGGCACACCCCTCACACGGTTCGTGGCCCTTAGGGAGCTCCACCGAAGGCCCCAGTGGCAGGGCCCACATGCAGCCGCCCCGACCACTTCGGCACACCCCTCACACGGTTCGTGGCCTTCTAGGGAAGTCCACCGAAGGCCCCAGTGGCAGGGTCCACATGCGGCCGCCCCGACCATTTCGGCACACCCCTCACACGGTTCGTGGCCCCTAGGGAGCTCCACCGAAGGCCCCGGTGGCAGGGTCCACATGCGGCCGCCCCGACCATCTCGGCACACCCCTCACACGGTTCGTGGCCCTTAGGGAGCTCCACCGAAGGCCCCGGTGGCAGGGTCCACATGCGGCCGCCCCGGCCATTTCGGCACACCCCTCACACGGTTCGTGGCCCCTAGGGGAGTCTACCGAAGGCCCCAGTGGCAGGATCCACATGCGGCCGCCCCGACAATTTCGGCACACCCCTCACACGGTTCTTGGCCCCTAGGGAGCTCCACCGAAGGCCCCAGTGGCAGGGTCCGCATGCGGCCGCCCCGGCCATTTCGGCACACCCCTCACACGGTTCGTGGCCCTTAGGGAGATCCACCGAAGGCCCCAGTGGCAGGATCCACATGCGGCCGCCCCGACCATTTCGGCACACCCCTCACACGGTTCGTGGCCTTTTAGGGAGCTGCATCGAAGGCCCCAGTGGCAGGGTCCACATGCGGCCGCCCCAACCATTTCGGCACACCCCTCACACGGTTCGTGGCCCTAGGGAGCTCCACCGAAGGCCCCGGTGGCAGGGTCCACATGCAGCCGCCCCGACAATTTCGGCACACCCCTCACACGGTTCGTGGCCCTTAGGGAGCTGCACCGAAGGCCCAAATGGCAGGGTCCACATGCGGCCGCCCCGACCATTTCGGCACACCCCTCACACGGTTCGTGGCCCTTAGGGAGCTGCACCGAAGGCCCATCGGCACACCCCTCACACGGTTCGTTGACATGCTCTGGCGCAACGATCCAAGGATTTTGGAGGCCCTTCAAGGTGTTTTCGTGCATTGAGCGGTCCTGTTTATAGTCGCCCCGCGTTAAAATTAGGGGTTGGGTTCTTCGCCAGGCTGATTTTTGTTTGTTTGCTTTTGTTGCTTCTTGGGAGTCGCGGGAACAAGGAACTTGCAAATGTTCACTTTCCCGCCTGCGTCTGAACTGAAGAGGGAACTTGAAAAGGTTCACTCCTCAGGCGTGGGAAATGGAGTTTGAAAAAGGTTCACCTCCCCCCCTGTTTTCGGTCTGGAGAAGGAACTTGAAAAGGTTCACTCTCCAGGCGTGGGAAGGAGAACTTGAAAAGGTTCACTTTCCCGCCTGCGTCTGAACTGAAGAGGGAACTTGAAAAGGTTCACTCCTCAGGCGTGGGAAATGGAGCTTGAAAAGGTTAACCTTCCCCTTGTTGTCGGTCTGGAGAGGGAGCTTTAAAAAGGTTCACTCTCCAGGCGTGGGAAGGAAAACTTGAAAAGGTTCACTTTCCCCTCGTGTTCCCTGCTGTCTTCCGTAGTGTTCCCTGTTGTCCCCTTGTGCCCCCTCGTGTCCCCTTCGATCCCCTCGTGTGCCCTGCAACCCCTCGTGTTCAGGTGTGTTATTCGGACGACGATGTTGATGCTGACGCTGATGGTGGTGCGTATGATGATGCTGACGTCGCAGACGACGGCGATGATCATGATCAGGATGCTGGTGAGCAGGAAGATGCTGATGGTGGGAGGAAAAAAAAAAAGGAGGCGAAGGAGGAGGAGGAGGAGGAGGAGAAGGAGTTTGAGGAGGAGGAGGAACAATGAGGAGGATGAGAGGAGGAGGGCGGCGATGAGGTTGAGAAAAAGAAAAGGATGAACATGAGGAGAAGGAGATGGAGGAGGAGGAGGATGGGGAGGAGGAGGAGGAGGAGCGCTTCAAGGGAGGCGTTGGTGTCCGTACCACCAGGGCACCTCGGAATTGCCTATTGCGGTGGGGGGTTATCCAGCTGCCTGGGGCAAGTCCCGACTCCAAGCATCTCAGTCGACAGCTGTCGACTTCCAATGCTTCCGAAAACGCCAGAAACTATCATTCGAATGACTTGCTTCAGAGCGCTTTGGGGCTCCGTAGTGCCCGATCGGCCCAAGTTGCTTGATCATGCGCGACTTTCGCGCCGACCCTTCTCTCTTGCGGCTGCCATGGCGAGGGAGAACGCGATCCTCCCCAAGACCCTCCGCGAGACTCTCGGGGGCGCCGCTGGGGACGAGAGCATCGCTTTCGGCGAGGCCCTCGCGCGCGCCGACGGCATGAAGCCCCACTGCCACGCTGGCCTCCCACGCGGCCACGTGGGGCAAGAGGGGCTGTCGAAGATCGCGGATCTTCCTGCTGCGCCCATGAACGTTCACGCAGGCACGGATATATCTTACTTCGGGGACCTGCAGATGAACTGGGCTTACGAGAATACCCAGGGCTCTGACGGGAAAGCGGTCGGTGTCCTCACTGACTGGAAGGACTTCCAAGGGCAACCGTGCCGTTTGGACGTGGTCAAGGACCTTGCCGCGAAGTCCAATTTCAGTGGCCCCCCTCCACCGTTCAACCTCAAGAGCCCACCTTGTGGGCCGTGCGTCATGCAGATTTTCGTCATGGACGCTGGCGAGGGCAAAGTGCACATTTTCAAGGGAGTTGACCTGAAGGGCTAGTTCCTGAAGATGGCAAACTGCGAGCCAATGTGTCATGGCACCGGCGTCATGTATCAGTATGGGAACCAATGGAAGGCAGGCCGGAATGCGATCTGTTATCTCCTGGAGAAGCTGGGCGGCCTACAGATTCGCTTTTCCTCGCTGACCGCCGCGGCGAAGCCTGGCAAGCGGTCGACCGAGTGGAATAAGAAGCAGGAGGGGTACCGCTACATCGAGGAGAAGGGCCGGAAGAGCAACAACCGCAATCAGTTCATGGAGTTCGCGGGCAGGGACATCAGGGCAGAGGGACACGGCGCCAACTGGTTAGCCCCATTGCCACCCTGGCCCCCATCTTCGACCGCGCGGACCTTCTCGGTCGCCGCGCGATTGCGGTTAGCCAACCAGTGCCGTTGTTTCCCCGCCCCACAGGAGACTAACGACCCTAAATCGAAAATCTACGGTTGGTAAGAGTCCCGCGTGGTCCAGGCGCTGCGAAACCATGCGAGCGGGCGCATCAACGCCGAGAACCTCTCTGTCTGGGTGCTCGCGCTGAAGGACTTCGAGCCGTGGTCCATCAACGAGGTGCTCGTGACGATCCTAACAACTCTTCGCCGCAACGGCGCGCTCTGGATCGGCGAGACCAGAGTGGGGAGGTCGACGGCGTCGGAGACGCTTTCGTTCTTGATGCCCATGCTCGAGATCGATGCCCTCGAGGGCGATGCCGGGGAGGGCGCGCCCGAACCTTCAACTGTCACCGCCCAGCATTTTGATTTCTTCAAGGGCGAGCCTGTGGAGAGGGTGCCGCCCGCTGTGTTCGACGACGAGGACTTGCGCGAGCAGGGCGCGTCCGTGTTGAAGGCCATCCTCAACCCGAGCGAGGGGGATTCCACGCTGTGGGCGAAGCGGGGGCCCCGCACGTTCGCCCGGGGGCGTCCCGCCAGGCCGTGAACAACAGCCAGGACAATGCCTTGGAGACGCGGTTGGTTGCATTATGGCACCACGAAGAACCAATGGAGATCACGATCCAGCAGCTCATGGATCTCATCGCTCCCTTCCTGAAGCAGATTACGGAGGAAGAGGACATGCAGGCCCTGCTCGCGTCGTCGTTACCACGGGCACGCGCATGTATTTCCGCTTGGCATCCGATGAGTTTCCAGAGGGCGGCGCCGCGCACTTCTATTTATACCACAAAAAGTCAAAGCCTGACCTCTTCAATTACTCGCCAGAGGGGCGCGTGTTCTTTGGCGAGTGCAAGGGCGACCCGGCCTCTCCGAACAACTACCCGTCCGACTTCAAGGAGAAGGCGGAGTGGTCCCTGCATTTCGCGAAGCGCCTGATGCGCGGCGAGCAAGCGCCCGCTGTGTCGACCACCCGCGGGACCTCGCTCTTCGGGGAGCCCGTGCGCAGGGTTCAGCCAGAGATCGCGGCCCCGCCAGCGGGCGTGCCCGCGGCCCCGATGGCGGCCCCAGCCGCGCCAGATGAGGGCCCCCCACAGCCAAGCGGGCGAAGCCTGGTGCCCAGGAAGGGTGCGCGGCGTCCCCCGCCCCTTTCGCGGGCGGCTTCAGGTGCGACCGCCTCGGGAGCGACCGCGGCGACTCCGAGGGTGAGGAAGAGCAGCCGCTCGGACCCCCCGCGCAGGAGATCGAGCGGCTCTCGGGCCCCGCCAGGCAGGCGCCATCGCGCTCGGGGGTTCAACGCATTGAAGAGGAGCGCGACCAGCGATGGGCACAACGCCTCGCAGAATTTTGCGCACGCCAAGAAGGAGGGGCGCAGCGCCAGGCGGGAGCAGGCGCCTCGCGCGCCGATCAAGCTGGACCCAGCCGAGAGGGCTGCCAAGCGGGAGGTTTTCGAGCAGAAGCCCGTGGACAAAGAGACGATCCAGGAGATCTTCCCAAGCTCGGGAAGTGCAGAAGTCGGGCGGCGCTCGCGAGGCGTCATAGAAATCGTCTGTTCGTTGTCCAGCGGGTGCTCGAATTGCGCGCCGTTTGGCCGCGGGCACGGCTGCCCCTCCTGGCAGCGTGTAACGGGTGATTCTTTTGCGCGCCCTCATTCTGCCGCCTTGTTGCTGAGCCCCCAACAGGCGTCGTGGCGATCGACTCGGGCGCGGACTGAATGCGGCCGCGGCGGCGGGGGGCCAGGCGTAGCAGATGAGTCTAGCTGCGGTTGGTAGCCGACTTCGCTCGGGGAGGCATGCGGCTGTCGGGGCGAATCCAAATCGTTGGGGGATGTACGCAACATATGTCAGCCTTTCTATGCATTCTGCGCTCTTGGCAATGGAGGATATCTCATGCGGTGACGCCGTCGCGTCCTTGCCTTTGCGCCAGAACGGCCACGCTGCTCTTTCACTAATTGCTTCGCTTGCCCCGCAGCATTTTGGCTCAGTTGTCGCCGTCGGCATCGTTGCCGCATCCGCCATCGCCCCCGCCGATGGCGAGGGCGGCGAAGGAGGCCGTGGAGACCGCGAAGGCGGCGGCGAAGACTGAAGACCACGAAGACGGCAGTGAAGACAACGACGAAGACCATGAAGGTCGCCAAGAAGCGCGTCGCTTCGCGGCGCCCAGCGTCGATGGGGGATGCCCACTTCCAGCGGCGCGTGAAGGGGTCCGCCTGCGCGTCGTCTGGCACGATGACGCGGCCTGGGGCCAAACCGAAAGTCGGCAGGGCCAGGGCGAAGGAATTGCCCAGCCCCCGCTACAGTGGCAAGAACGCTGGCAAAGGGAGGGCGGCGCCCCTCGCCATCAAGGCCAAGGCGGAGCGCATTGACTTCCGAGGGCTCTGTGACATTGGCGTCGCAAACAGGATTCGCGTCGGCGTGGGGCTCGGGTATTTGCCGCAGATGGAGGGCGCGAAGTGTCCGCGCGATTGCGGCGCTAAGTTGTCCCTCCATGTGTTCGCAGACAGGGGGTCTCCTGGCATCTCCGTCAACGTGGGCGACGTGCAGGTATCTGGGAGATCACGTAGCACAGTGCCCTCCCGGTAGATTTGGGGATGTTGGGCGTTGTGGGGAGGGGCGGTTTTCTATGTGAGATTGGTTGTGCGTCGTGTTATCCATCCAGGTGAGTGTTCCGACGTTGTGCAGGCACCGCTGCGGCGATTGGACGTGTAGCGGGAACAAGATGGGCATCGCGGTCCAGAGCGAGGAGGGCGCCCTCATCTCTCTCGGCGGCAGTGGGAGAGCACCAGCAAGCGAAGGGCTACTCGCTGTGCACTTGGCGTGCGTGCCCGGGACTGCGCGCCACCCGAGTCGCGGAGATTGCACGGTCGTGCAGGGCATCTCGAAAGACTCCATGGCGTTGTGCCTGGACAGGGTGCGCCGCCGCATGGCCTACCTCAGCCTTGAAGAGCAGGCCCGCATCAAGTTTAAGGGCGGCATGCTCGTAGAGCTCGACGAGCGCAGCATCGGGCCGAGCGGGTCAGCTGCAAGAGGCCGTGCGACAGGTGCAAGCCTGAGTGCCCTGGCTACCGCTTGCTCTGGAACCGTTGGCTCATCGTGGTCGAGCGCGGCAACGGGGCCAACATGGTTCTCATCCAGCTCCCCTGGGAGACGAGCATGGCTGGCGGCGGCGGCGCGCCCTTGAGCGGGGTCCAGTGCGACGAGGCCGTCAGGAAGCACCTCGGCCGCGGTGCGATCGCCCTGACCGACGGCGCCGACTGCTACAAGGCCTTCGCCGCTGGCGACTTGATCTGCTCGCCCTGCTGCGACCGCAAAGGTTGCCTCGAGCGCGCGAGGGCAGCGAGGTCCGCCAAGCAATGCCTGGGGTCGCGACCAAAGCACGGGCGGGAGCGCGTCCGCGCCCACTACCGCAAGTTGGCCATGTCGCACGACGTGGTGAGCCACAAGAAGGAGTGGGTTCTCGTGAAGGCCGTGCGTGTGCAGGACAAGAACGGGAACGTCCGCATGGTCAAGCTCAAGCACGGCACGGAAGCGGCGGACGGCAACTGGGACGAGGTCAAGACGGCGCTCCCGTCCTCGATCAAGAGCTCCGACCACGACCGCATCGCCGAGTACGTCCACGCGTGGGCGTGGCGCGCCAGGCGCCATGGAACCGACCTCTTCGCTGCTTTGTGCTCGAGGTTGGTGAGGGCTAGTGAGGAACCCGACGTCGGGGGCCGCGGGGCGCGCGGGGTTCGGGGAGCATGCAAGGCGCGAGACCATGCTCAGTCGCTATACAGAGAACACGTTGCCACGGGGCGGGTGCCCTTTCGCGAAAATGTTACGTTGATCTCCAGAGCGGGCCAGGAAGGAGGAGGAGGGGGAGGAGGAGGAGGAGGAGGAGGAGGAGGAGGAGGAGGATGAGGAGGAGGAGGAGGAGGAGGAGGAAAGGACTTGAGAAGGGGGAAAAATGGACGAACGAAGCGGAGTTGGAAAGAAAACGTCTCCGTTTGAAACATTTAGGGCTTAGAGCGCCCCACCCTCATCCAGTCTGGCGCCGCGGCGGCGGCGGGCAGCGCGGTGGCGGCGGCAGGGACAGCGGCGGCGGCGGCGGCGCGGCGGCGGACAACGGCGGCGGGCGGCGGCGGCGGCGGAGGCGGCGGCGGCGGTGGATTGGCCCCCAGTAGCTGGCCATCCAAAAACGACTGCTGCATATGCTGCGGCTTGGGCTAGGCTCTCGGGAGTGAGCGAGACGGCTTGCGGGCGGGGACGGAGACTCTTGACCCGTCCCCCTACCCTCTCCTGGACCTCGACAGGGGGCCTCCGCGACGCGCTGGAACGTCCAAAACGGCCTCGGCGAGGAAGCCCAAATCACTGGTCTTACTGCTGTTTTGGCTCCACTTCGGCCTCCTGAGGGAGGAGGCTAGTTTTAAACAAATGTAATGAAATTTGGGCCCCGTTCTGTAATCCACGAAACACTTCTCGGTCGCGGCGCGGGAGAGGCGACCCGCTCGCGCGCGTCCGAGCAGCCCGGGCTGCGGCATATTGCGGGTGTCCCGCATGCAAGGGGAGGAGGGGCGAGCGACAAGCTAGGTGCGCTCGCGTCATATCTGACGTCCTACCCCTCCCTCCCGTCCCTTACCATGGCGCTGATTTTCTCTATCCGCGGACGCGTGTCGTAGCGGACCTGTGGCTCCGCGCGCGCGTGCGTAGTGGGTGGTGGTGCACGTGCGTGCGTGCGTGCGTGCGTGTGTGCGTGGTGGTGGTGGTGGTGGTGGTGGTGGTGGTGGTGGTGGTGGTGGTGGTGGTGGTGGTGCTGGTGGTGGTGCTGGTGCTGGTGTGGTGCTGGTGGTGGTGGTGGTGGTGGTGGTGGTGGTGGTGGTGGTGGTGGCGGTGCGGCGCGGTGGTGGCGGGCGGATGGGCGCGCGAGAAAAAGGCCCGCGCTGGGGCGAGAACGCCATCCTGAACGACGGAGGCCAAACACCGATCCGAAAATGAGGCCCACGCTGCAGCGGGAGCACGATTCGGAACGATTCGGGAGCAGAAATGAGGCCGGCGCCTCAACGAGAGCAGCATTTTGGGAAGAAAATGACGCCGGCGCCTCAGCGAGAGTCGTTTCCCGGGATTTCCCGGGCATCCTGTGTGTAAAAAACAATACGCGGAGGATGCGCGGCCATCACCCGGACGCCATCAGGGGAAGAGGGAGAGTATATTCATATTGAGTAATTGTAGAGAGCCAGCCGCGGAGACCTGGGGCGGGCGGCCAGGCCCCAGGACCGTGAACGAACGACGCGGGGATGAACCAGCCAGGCGCAGAGGGGGGCACATGTGGGGGAGGAGGGGAGATTTCTTAAACGCACCCCTGCTTCTTGGGAGGCGCGGGCCTTGTGTCTAGATGCAGGGCCTTCTGAGAAGCAGCCTCCTTCTTAGAAGCCGTCCCGCGGCGAGGCCGGGCGGCCGAGGGAACTGGGGCCCTGGGCTCCAAGCAGCTTCGCCAAGGTCGGCTCTGCAGACCGAGCCGTGTCCTGGCAGTCCCGGGGCCCGTGCAGGGCCCTCGGGGCCTGAAGAGCGGCCGAAGACTCGGGGCCCGCTTCTCGCAGGACCAATTTGCTTCATGGCGATCGCCACCGACGGCGCCGACGACGACGACGACAATGGACGACGGACGACGGACGACGGACGACGGACGACGGACGACGACGATGACGACGACGACGACGACGACGGCGGCGGCGGCGGCGACGACGGCGACGACGGCGGCGACGACGACGACGACAATGATGGACGACGGCGGCGGCAGCGGCGACGGCGAACGACGAACGTCCACGAACAACCCGTTGGCTTCATGGCGGTCGTCGCCGAAGGCCGCCGCTTCGACGAGCGGCGGTCGGCGGCCGCGGAGCGCGACGGCGGGCCCGGGCTCCTCGGCGGGGGCGGGCGGCGGTTCGCCCGTCCTGGCCGCCGCGATGCCTTGCGCGGCCGCGGCCACCTGTGCCATCTGCTCCTCGAGGGGTGAGGCGGACGGGGCAACCCCGCCTCGAGTCGTGAGACAAACGCACCGACGTGTATACGTGCACGTGTGCATATGCCTGCGTATGTCTCTGTACATGCGTATGTGTAGGCGGAGAGAGAAAGAAAAGGAGAGGCAGAAGGACAGAACAAGCCCAAAGACAGAGAGAGAGAGAGATAGAAACATATGGGTATACCTATACGTATGTGTATACGTGCGTACTCATCTACACACAAGTGTGCGCGCACACTTGTGTGTGTGCGTGTGCGTGTAAGTAGGCATTTATAAACAAAAAGCACAACAACAAAAACGGGGAGCAAAAATAACCGCTGCCGCTGCTCCTTGGACCACGTCCTGGGCGCGTGCTGACCAAGATTTCGAAGCGAATCCGGCTGCGGCGACGGGGACGTCGTAGGAGGCACAAGCAACCAAACAGCCGAAAACGACCGGAAAGGCAACGACAGCGGCTTCTTTCCTTCTCTCCGGGCATCTAGCCGCGCTGCTGAAAGAAGGAACGCTACATCAGTGACGAAACCCTCTTTGGCGCCAGCAGCGCCTGGGTGCACGAGGAGCGAGCAACCATTTTTTTTGGGGGGGGAAGAGGAGGAGAGCACGGCCACAAGAACTCCCGCAGCGCGGTAGCCACCACAGCGCAAAGCGAGCCCCATCCGCGCCCGAGCTGTTCCACACCCCAGCGTCGTGAGTGTCTCGAATCCTCCGTCGGAGGTTGGCGGCGCGCACGAGGTGTTAAACGCGAGGGGGGCGGCCTTCTACGAAGGCGGGGGGCCTCTCAGAAGGCAGATGCTAGAAGGGCCTCGGGGCTTCTGATGGGGCGTTGCGTCTTGGGGGTGGGGGCAGCGGGTGGGGTGAGGGCGACAAAACGCGCACCTGTTCTGTACTCCTTTTGGGCCGCACGGGGGCTTTTTTTTGTGGCTCCTGTAGGGTGCACGAGCGGTGCGCTTCGATTTCTGCACGTTGCGTGACAGGGGGGCGACAACTATCGCCCCGCCCCATCATAGACGAGCGCGTTCCACTACTCGCAGAGTAACTACTCGCAAATCCCCAGCGGGGGATCTACGATACATTACATCAAAGCAGACACGTGTATTTTCGGACGTCTGCGAGCGGGCACTCTGCGAGTCGTGGAACGCGCTCGGCGAACCACGCAACGCCCGACCCGAGAGGGCCTCTTGGAGGCCGGGAGGGCCACGCCAGGCCCCCCGCGCGGGCGCAGAGGTGGACGAGGATAATGGTGCTATGGGCAGGAGGAGGAGGAGGAGGAGGAGGAGGAGGAGGAGGAGGAGGAGGAGGAGGAGGAGGAGGAGGAGAAGCAGGCCCCCTGCCTTCTTAGAAGGCCACCCCCTCGGCGACCGCACCTCCTCGTGCGCGCCACCGGGGCAAGCCTCGGCCTGTTGCGGATGAGGTTCTTTGAGGGGGGGAGCGCTCCTGCGGGCTCCCCTGCGTCACGAATCTAAATCTATGTCTATATCTATATCTCTCTCTATATATATATATATCTATATCTCTATATATATGTACATATATATATATATATATATATGTATATATATATATATATATATATATATATATTCGTTAAACACATTATATATATGGTCTCGGGCTCCGGGCCCACAGGCCCCCCCCCTCCCCCCCAGATGGTATGGTCCCAGGATTCCTCGGGCCCCTCCCCCAGATGGTATGGTCCCAGAGACGACGACGACGACGACGACGACGACGACGACGACGACGACGACGACGACGACGACGACGACGGAAACGACTACGACGACGGCGACGACGACGACGACGACGACGGCTGCGGCGGCGACGACGCCGGCGGCGGCGGCGACGACGACGATGACGACGATGACGACGGCGACGACGACGATGACGACGACGACGACGACGACGACGACGAGGACGACGAGGACGACGGACGACGACGACGACGACCTCTGAACCACCACAGCACCACACCACATCCACAGGGGGGGGGAGGGGGGCACCGCAGCGCAGCACCACGCCACGCCCACCTCTGAACCACCACAGCACCACACCACATCCACAGGGGGGGGGGGGGGGCACCGCAGCGCAGCACCACGCCACGCCCACAGGGGGGGGCGGGGGGGACCATCGCGCGGGGGGGGGGCCCAATGGCATCAGCATTGGGGGGGGCCCAAGCCCTGGACCATATATAGATACGCGCACGCACACACACACACACACCCTCCGACGAGCTTTGCTTGTACCTTCAGGGAGGGGGGCGGTGTATAAAGTCGCTGGCTTTCAGTGGTAATTTAAACACCACCGCCCTCCCCTGAGGCCTAGGGAAAATCCATTACAAGGTGCCTGTGTGTATATTTTTGTGGCGGATCTCTCCGTGACGACGTCGGCCTTTGATTCCAACGCCACGCGAGCCACTCCAATCCTGGTCGGAAGCTGCCGACCTCATCTTTCGCACTGCTCTCGCGCCGTGGGTTGTCACCCGTGTGCCGCTGGGGAGGTCAAGATCGGATCGGAATGTGCGCCAGACTGGGCCGCGCCAGCAGAAGGTCGGAGTCGAATCGCATCGACCGCGCCAGGTGGAAGCACACCGGATCGGGCCAGCCAGAAACGATATCGAATCGGATACAGTCGGGGCGTTGACCCAAGGAACCCTAAATAATAATAAGGAACGCGGCCCCTTTTTTCCATAAATTAAGCTTCGATTTCCGATCGAAAACATAAGGACAACCTGAGGCAAGCTGTGAAACACTTAAGGAACGCGGAGCCCCTCCCCAACGAAAAGGGTTCCTTCTTCAGGGCCCCGACTGTATCTTGGTGGGGTGTCGGGCCATCGCGCGAGCCTCAGACGGCCGTTCGGAACAAGTCCGTCACCCCCGAAGTTCTCTCGACAAGCCACAGCAGACTGAAACCAACCCAAGCCACGAAAACTTATAAAAACATATGAAAACCACCTCGAACTCCAGAACATCTCTGGAAAACCTTGCCGAAAATGCTCCCATACGACGTCGCGAACAAAATTGCGACATCGCGAGATATCACGACTGGAGCCCTAGTCCCAATATTTCTGCGGCATTTCTCGAGCGGGATCAATCTGTGGTCCTGGGGCCCGAAACGTGATGAAAACGCCTGGCGTGAAGACAATTCAACTCCCAGATCTCAGGGTCCAGGGAAATCCTGGGGACATCTGTGGCCCAGACCTTTGACGTCATGTTTTTTGTCGCAATGTCGACCCTGACAGGTCGAGACCTAATCCTTGGGACCGGCGTTTTTTCCTGATTCATATTCTGATGGTCCCGAGGCCTGGCGAGGGCCCCCAAAGGCCGAAAACGACGAATGACCTCTGCCGTGCTTTCTTGTTCACGACGCCAGCATTTCTGGACCGGGGCGGTCTTCGTCGTCGTCGTCGTCGTCGTCGTCGAAGTTGTTGTCGTCGTGCTCGTCGTCGTCGTCGACGTCGTCGTCGCCGTCGTTGTTTTCGCCGTCGTCGCCGTCGCCGTCGTCGTCGCCGCCGCCGTCGCCGTCGCCGCCGTCGCCGCCGTCGTCGCCCTCGTCGCCGTCGCCGTCACTGTCGCCGTCGCCGCCGTCGCCGCCGCCGCCGTTGCCGTCGCCGTCGTCGTCGTCGTCGTCGTCTTCGTCGTCGTCTTCGTCGTCGTCGTCGTCGTCGTCGTCGTCGTCGTCGTCGTCGTCGTCGCCCTCGTCGTGCTCGTCGTGCGGCGAGGGGGGCCTGGCCATCGCTCGGACGTCCATTCCCTGTGTTTTTTGTCGGTTTCGTGCGTGGTTTTTTCGCCAAATGATCAAGGATGCTTCTCGGTGGTCCTCGCCGAGAAGAGAAATGCACACGTCCGAGCGATGCCAGGGGGCTGGGCGGCGCGATGAGCGCGGGCGAGGCGGCTCCCGCGACAACTGCAGCCCCGCTTCGGTCTGCGGCCCCCAGCGCGAGGGGCGGGCGGGCCGCTGCTGGGCCGGCTCGTCTGGGGCTGGGGCGGCGAGGGGGCGGTCCTCCTTCCTCCTCCTCCCTCCCCCTCCCTCCTCCTGCCTCCTCCTCCCTCCCTCTCCCTCCTCCTCCTCCCTCCTCCTCCCTCCCCCTCCCTCCCCCCTCCCTCCTCCTTCCTCCTCCTCCCTCCTCCTCCTCTCCTCCCTCCCTCTCCCTCCTCCTCCTCCTCCCTCCTCCCTCCTCCCTCCTCCTCCTCCTCTCCTCCTCCTCCTCCTCCTCCTCCTCTCTCTCCTCCTCCTCCTCCTCTCTCCTCCTCCTCGTCCTCTCCTCCTCCCTCCTCCTCCTCCACCTCCTCCTCCTCCCTCCCCTCCTCCTCCTCCCTCCTCCCTCCTCCCCTCCTCTCCCTCCCTCCCTCCCTCCCTCCCTCCCTCCCTCCCTCCGGTGTTGACCATCATAGGCTTCACCAGTGAGGACCATCATAGGCCTCACACCCCTCGCAGCTGCCATCATAGGGGCTGCCTGGGGCCCGCCCTCTCCCACTACTAAACCAGTACACTATGCCGTCAATAGGCACCGGAGGGGGCCGAGGACCTCCCTGCAGCCCCTCGGCCAACGAAGACGGCTGCAGGGAGGGGTCCAAACGTACCTCCACCTTCATGCACCAGTCCACCAATACACCAGAAAACCAACTCCTCACATTCCTCCCTGGGGCCGTGAACGGGATTTATCCCCTGCCGGCTGACGGTGCCTGTCAATGTCAGTAATCTAATACTCTGTGGCGTCAGTTGCCAGCCCAGTACACCAGTACACCAAGGGTGACGGTTCGACCCGTGCCGCCGCGGTGTCACATGTGCCGCCGCGGCGTCACTCATGAGGTCCTTCCCGCTCCCCGCCCCTTAACCGAGCTCTCCAAGGACGGGTATGTAAAACCCTCCCAGCCACCTCCGTCTGCCACTTGGGGCGCAGGTGTGTGGCTGGGCCTAATTACTCCCCTCCTCCTCCCCCTTCCCCCCCCCCGCCTTCCTCTAAGGATGGGTATAACCGCCGTCCAGTCTACACGTCCGGAGCAGCGGCCCTCGCCGAGAGCTGTCCAGGGGCGCCTTGGATCGTCCCCCTTCTGTCGATTTGCTTCGGCTTCAGGTTCCCCGGCCAGGCCCGCTCTCATCTTTCACGTTTCCCGTTTCAGGTGCCCCTGTCAGGAGTTGTGACTGCAGCTCCGAGGCTCGAGGCGTCTTCTTCTTGCTGTGCCTTTTCGTCGTGTGCCCCCGCGGCGCACCCGCACCCCATGGCGTGCAGCTTCTGCGGCAGCAAGGACCACGAGGGCGGCGACTGCGACCAGATCGACATCCCCGTATCCTTGCGGCAGCGCCGCCACGGCGACGCCCGTCGCCTCTTCAGTGCAGCCGCCGCCGCGGCGGCCCCTCCGTCGCAGCGCTCGGGTCCTCCTACAGGGAACCGCAACGGTGGCCCGCGCCTCCGCCATCGCTCCCCTGATGGTCGGGCTACTCGCCACCGCTCCCGCTCCCGCCGTCGCCAGCGCTCCGCAGCGCGCAGCCCCCAGGAGCGTCGCCCTCGCTGTCCCCCGGAGCTCCCAGTTCTGGAGCGCGACGTCTTCCCCCCGCAGCCGCCGCTCATTGCCACCCCCCCGACGCCAGCGTACCAGGGCTCCCCCACCAACACCGCGGTCCATGAGCTCCTCAGTTCCTTGCTCGCGTCCGTCCCTGGCGCGGCCGCGATGTTCCCACTGCCGCAAGGCGCACCGCTCGCAGCTCCACGGGTGCCCGAGGCCCCGGGCCCAGACCTGTCAGCCTCCACACCGGACCAGTTCCGGCACCTTGTGGGCAAACTCTCGGACGAGGAACTGCTCCAGCTCGTCCACGGCGACGACGCCACAGCGGTCCGACTTCAGAAGGCGGCATACGGCGTGCCGCCGCACCTGTCCCCTGACCTCTGCTTCGAGGACCCCCGCTTCAAGGAGGCCCGGGCCATGTGCAACGTCGAGATGATGCGGCGCTGCAAGAGCCTTTGCACTCCGAAGACCCGGTCGGCCCTCACGGACAACCCCGGCGAATACGTCCCGTATGTCATGAGGGCCCAGGCGCGTCGCAATCTCCAGAAGGTCGCGCCCCTCATGCCCTTTGATTGCGACACGTTCAACTTCAACGTCTTCCTCACGTGGCTTACGCGCAACTCCCCCTACACTATGAAGAGGGACGCCCTGCCGGAGATGATCTGCAAGGTCGCGGCATCCATCGCCGACGAGGGTCAGGCCCACCTCGAATCTGGCCCGGCCTCTGCCGAGATGCAGCTAATCCCGGCCTCCACTATCCGGGCACTCGCGCAAGGCTGCGTACAAACACCAGCTCAGGCCGCGGCGGCCGGCGCGGCGGCCGTGCCAGGCCAGGCCCCAGCGGAGCCTCTCCCGATCACGTTGGAGGACCTCAAGAACTACTCGTTCGACAGGCTTCACGACCGCAGCGGCACTCGCACTCTCGACTGGGCGCTCGAGGACCGCGCCGTCACGGCGGAGGACCCAGCAACGCTTCGCAAGAAGTTCGAATCCTACCATGCAGCTTTCAAAACACTGGCCCTTAAGGCCAAGGGCACGGGCCAGGGCAAGGCCAAGTCGAAGGAGGCCGGCGACGTCTTCAAGCGCATCTCCGAGGCCTTGGGCGTCAAGTTCGACGCGACCAGGCTGTCCGACATCGTCCACCTGGCAGCCGCTGTGCGTGCTCGCCTGGATGAGGTGGAGGCCTGACTTCGCACCCGCTGCCTGCGGGAGCGCGCGTCCGGCGGCGTGTGGGACGTGCATTGTGACGGGGCGCCCAGGGTCTCCCGGAGCCCGCGCGACCGCAAGCTCATCATCGCGGGCCTCGCGCTCCTCCAAGATTGCCTCCTACACCTCTACTCGTTCGCTGGCTCCCTCCCCTGGGACTGCATCTTCGTCCTCCACCGCCTGGGTTTTGTCCTGGCCAGGCACTTCCTCATGGCCACCACTCACAAATTCTACGCCCGCATCCGCCTGCTGGCCGCTACGCTTCCGGGAGCCACCTGGCCTCCCACCGAAGCCCTCATGGACGCCCCATTCGTCGTGTACTTAATGTGGAGTCCCTGGCGGCGCCTGTTCTACATCGGGAAGACCATCTACTACAAGGAACGCCTTCGCAAACACCTCTACGCCTTCCTTCGCCCTTCAAACGACTCCCAGCAACCCTACATGGCATACCTCCGGCACTGCTCCGGCGGCGACGCCCCATCAGCAGCCGCGTCATGGCTCTACCTCCCCATTGCCCGCTTTTCCTCCGACGCCGCCGCTTCGTCCTTGGAGCGGCATCTCATTGACGTTGAGCATCCGCGCCTCAACGAGCCCCACGTGCACCGCCTCCTGGCCCTGTGCGGCCCCGCGTCGGCACCCGTCCAATGGAGTGCCCGGGGAACCCGCATCTCTGCTGCCCCCCCAACAGCGCCCGCCCGCTTCACGCAGCGCCGTCGCCACGGGCAGGACGTGCGACCCCGTGCGGCCGAAGCCCGCCTCGCACTGTCCGAGTCGGGTCAGTGCCTTTCGTGTTCCATCACAAGGTGGGCGCAGCTCGCATGCAACACGCTCCCGGCTGCCGAGGCCGACCAGGGGCATTCTGAGCTCTATCGCCTCACGTCCACAGAGCTGTTCGCAGTGTGGCGCCGGATCCATCGCAGCCAGGGCGGTGCCACCAAGGCCATCGGCCTGCGCGCGCTGGACCGCATCCGGCGCTTCCGGCGCTGGCCCAAGCCGCGTCTCTGCGTGCAAGGTGCCGCGCCATGGCTTCCAGGTGCAAGTGCGCGGACGCTTTTCCGGGACCTCATACACCGCATCATCGGCTACGCCAGGGAGCACGGCCAGGTGGCGATGATTCCAGCGATCCGCGACTTCCGGATTATGCTCACGCCATCCAGCTGCCTCACGTTGCGCTCTGCACTGCGCAACGCCCCGCGGTACTACCGGCAGCTCGGCACTAAGGACGCATGGCCATGCGCGTGTCACCTGCACCCGGATTTGCCCCGGTACCCGTCGCCAGATGGTGCGTCGCACATCTTTGCGCCTCAGGACACTTGGGCATGGCCGGCGCACCTTCAGCAGCTTCGCTTCCTCCCGGCGCACACGAGTGCCGCACCTTCGCGGGCTATGTTCTTCACATCGTGCAATAGAGTCCTTCGACGGGCCTGTCGAGCTCTGGGCCTAAACTGTTCGGACGCCACCCTCGCGCGCTTCACGGAGGAGGCGCTCGACACCGTCGACTTCGGTGGCATCCCGCAGCAGGTGGACTTCCAGCCAATCGACCACGGGGCCATCGCCATTGGCCGCCGGCTCACCCGTGGGCTCGTGGTGGAGGAGTTCCAGAAATCGAGGCACGTCCTCGTCGCCGAGTGCCCGCGCCGCGTCCAGCTCCTGTGCCACGGGCTCTTCGGCGTAGACGGGTCTGACCCCAGTTTCGAGTACTTTCCAGGTCTGTCGGCCAGCTGGGTGCTACAGCAGGCTTCCGTTGTGGTGGGCGTCCGGCCCCACCTACAGCCTGCCATGCTCTCGCGCGCGAGCTCTTGGAGGATGGCCGCAGCTTCGGCACCTAATAAACACCGTGGGAAGCCTGACGGCCGACGCCCCCTAGTGGATCGCTCCATGTGGCCAACCCAGCCTCTGGAGGCTCCTGCGGCACGCGCCCTGGACTGGGTGAGCTCGGCATGCATTCCCGATCATCTCCACATCGATTGCCAGCGTACTGATCTCATCCTCCCGTTCATCGAGCAGTTCAATATGCTCCCGCCCCGCGGGGCTGCGAGAAAATGCGGGAGCGACATCACGAATTGCTTCTCCAACATTCCCCACCCGCTGGTGCGCAGAGCGTGGCACTACTACAGGTCCGTGCTAACCGCGCTGGACATCGTACTCATCTCGGCCCCCCGCCGGCGCGGCCAGGGTCGCTGTCTACCACACGCGGCGCCGCCATCTTCGCGACAGTACCTGGAGTTCAACCTCGCAGACATGGAGGCGTCCATCGAGCACAGTCTCAAACACTTGTGGCTCGCCGTCGGATCCCTGATCGGCCGCGCCATCGACGGCCTTGCCATGGGGAGCTCCCTGGCCGGAGCGCTCACGCGCATGGTCCTGGTGTACGCGGACGTCACCTTCCACGCGTCGCTCTACTCGTCTGTTCCGCCCCCGCCGGCCTCGCGAGGCAGGGTCCGCTATGTCGACGTCCTCGGCGTCCAGATCCTCGTCCTGGAGTCGAGGTACATGGACGACTACATCTGCATCTGGAAGGGCCCGCCGGGACTGCAAGAATCGCTTGCCAGCCGGATTGCCTCCGTCGTCGCGTCCTGGCCAGGGCAGCGGTACCCGCTGCCAAGCGAGCCCGACCAGGGGGACGTCATCACGGGCATGCGCCTCGCCCTGCTTGACAACGGCACCGTCGCCACGCGCCCGGCTTCAGTGGACCCGCCGGGTTACGCGGGACACTTCGATTACCCACCGTTCCTGCACTACTGCAGCTTCGTCCCGGTCCACATCAAACGCGCAATCGTCCTGGGGGCGGTAGCCAGGGTGGACCGCTTCACCACCCCCGAAGAGAACAAGCCAGAGGCACTCCTCGAGCTCGCTCGCGCTCTCCTGGCCTCTGGATTCCCTGCAGTTTTGATGAGCCGCTGGATGTTGAGCCGCCGGGGCGCCAGTACTCCAGGTTGGTTGCAGCGCGCGTGCTTCCAGATAGCGTCGCTCGCAGCAGGAACCTAGCTATTATGAACAGCAGTTTCCGAAATGCTCCCCGTCCCCGCCCCCTTCCCCTGGCCCTCTTCCCCTCTTCCCTCCCCTTCGCCCCTCCTGCTCCCCCTCCCCGCTCTCCCCTCCTTCCCCCTTCCCCCCTCCAAGCGGATCCGCGTCATTACTTCCCTCCTTCAGGCTTCCCTGCCAGGACCTTTGCAGGCCTCCACTGCCGCTGGGGTCGCCCCATCAGCTGCACGCGGGGGGCTGGGACTTTCTGCACCCCTGATTGGGGTGTGTGGTCGTGTGCGCGTGTGCGTGTGTGTCTCCGTGTGTGCGTGCTCTGTGTGTGTCTCTGTGTGGTGTACGTCGCACCTACGGGCATACAGGTTGTGGGTACCTCCTCGGAGTGAGGGTTCTCCCCATCACTGGCGCACAATCTGTGGTGCATGCTATCGTGTCTTTCCTGCCTGCCCCTCGGCCGCTGCGTTAGCGGATGGGCCGGCACGCCCAAAAGTAGCATAGCACAGCATAGAAGTTGCGCGTTTCTGGTGGTATGGAGTTTGCCGCGCGCCATGAGTTATGATACGAAATCTCCGTATTTCGTATTCTCCGGGTCCGGGGCCGACGTCCCCCCGAGGCGTGCACATCTGTCTTCGTCTCTGCCCCTCTCTCTCTCTCTCTCTCTCTCTCTTCCCCCCCTCTCTTCTCTCTCCGCCCCCTGGCCCCATCCCCCTTTCTGGCCCCTCCTTTTCAGGCTTTCCCCTTACAGGATCTCCCACTTCAGGATCCGCGTTCTTCGGGATCACCTTCGCCGTCGACGCCAACGACATCTTGCCCTCTCGCCCCCCCCCCCCCGGTGTTGACCATCATAGGCTTCACCAGTGAGGACCATCATAGGCCTCACACCCCTCGCAGCTGCCATCATAGGGGCTGCCTGGGGCCCGCCCTCTCCCACTACTAAACCAGTACACTATGCCGTCAATAGGCACCGGAGGGGGCCGAGGACCTCCCTGCAGCCCCTCGGCCAACGAAGACGGCTGCAGGGAGGGGTCCAAACGTACCTCCACCTTCATGCACCAGTCCACCAATACACCAGAAAACCAACTCCTCACATTCCTCCTCCCTCCTCCCTCCCTCCTCCCTCCTCCTCCCTCCTCCCTCCTCCTCCTCCTCCTCCTCCTCCTCCTCCTCCTCCTCCTCCTCCTCCTCCTGCTCCTGCTCCTCCCTCCTCCTCCTCCTCCTCCTCCTCCTCCTCCTCCTCCTCCTCCTCCTCCTCCTCCTCCCTCCTCCTCCTCCTCCTCCTCCTCCTCCTCCTCCTCCTCCTCCTCCTCCTCCTCCTCCTCCTCCTCCTCCTCCTCCTCCTCGTCCTCCTCGTCCTCGTCCTCCTCCTCGTCCTCCTCCTCGTCCTCGTCCTCCTCCTCCTCCTCCTCCTCCTCCTCCTCCTCCTCCTCCTCCTCCTCCTCCTCCTCCTCCTCCTCCTCCCCTCTCCCTCCTCCTTCCTCCCTCCTCCCTCCGTCCTCCTCCTCCGTCCTGCTCCTCCTCATCCTCCTCCTCCTTGTCCTCCTTGTCCTCCTGCTCCTGCTCCTGCTCCTGCTCCTGCTCCTGCTCCTGCTCCTGCTCCTCCTCCTCCTCCTCCTCCTCCTCCTCCTCCTCCTCCCCATCGTCCCTGGTCGACCGATCTGGGGCTCGGGAATCGAGGCGGCGCCCATCAGGGGGCGGCGCGAGGGGGGCGGCCCGCCCTGCGATCCGGCACTGCGATCGTGTTTCGCATCGGGTGTTCTCGCTCGTTTTCGGTGCCTGGGACCCAACAGGGCTGAACCTAAACGGTGTTTTTCGTTTTCGTGTTGTTTTCGTTTTCCCTCGTTTTGTCTTCAACCCGCCTTTCCCGCAAAACGATATCGAAACGAAAACGGCCCACGAAATCGCCAAAACACCGTTCAGGTGCAGCCCTGGCCTGGGAGCATCACAGACGGATCCGGCCTCGAAAATGCCGCAGAAAGATGGGGTCTACGGCTCCCGTTGCGATGTTTCGCGATGCTGCCTCTTTTCCACAACGTCGGGTCCCGAACTTGCCCAGCTTCTCAAAAGCCTTCTTAGAAGCCCTAGGGGCCTTCTGAGAAGGCCCCTGCCTTCTGAGAAGCCCCTCCGCCTTCTCAACTGGCCGACCCCCTCGCGGCATCCCCTGGTGGGCGTCGCTGAAGGTCGGCGAGCGAGGCTCGAGGACGGAGGCTCAAACCAAATCTCCGACGATCTTCCTGCTCCTCCTGCTCTTCCTGCTCCTGCTCCTGCTAAGGCACAGCCGAGACACGACACGCACTCCACATGCAACAAATACTACGACTACCAGGCGCTGGCAACGCGGCCGTACATCACCCGCGTCTGCTGGGCAGTGGGGCTGCGCCCAGCGAGAGCAAGTCGATGTCCGCTGCTGCGAATGCGACCGCGCGCTCCAGGGCAGCCCTCCAGCGCGGCACCAGCCTGGGCGCAGCCCACTGGTCCCGCAGGGATGCAGCAGCGTGCGTGGCGAGGTGCTCCAGCGACCAGTGGGTCCCGGCAGCAAGCCGCCCGTATGACTCCAGGGCGACGGTGAGCACGTCGCTCCCGTACCGCCGCATCTTGTCGTCCACGGCAGCGTTGGCGGCGTCGCCCGGGCTCGCCTGCGCCTGCGCATAGCGCGCCGCGTGCGGGCAGCGGATCGACACGTCGATATACAGGGGCTGAACAGAGCCCGGGAACGTGACGACAAGATCCAGGACGGCCTCCTGGACGGCCCCGTTCGGCAGCACGCGAATGAGCTCTGGCACCGTGCGTTCGATGTCAATTTCCGCACGGCACTCGCGCAGTAGACGGGCGAGGGCCGCTGCAAGCGCGCGGTGCGGTCGCATGCGCGCCGGCCCCTGCTTGCAGAGCTGCGGGTGTTGAAGTGTCGGGTCCAGCCGGTGGCCGCATGCCTCGTCCGAGTTGCCGGCCTTGCAGGGGAGGCGGCACGTTGCCCCCGGCGGCGCGCTTAGGGCCCCCAGCCTGCGCATGGTTGCCACGCGGAAGTAGGAGGACGGGAACCACTCCGCCGTCTTCGCGGGGAGCTGCATCCAGAGCGCTTCCGCGCCGGGCCCCCCAGAGGACAGCAAGCCTTCCCTTCGCTCCTGGCCAAGCTCCTGCCACAGCTGGGTGGCGCGCACAGCGTCCAGGTGCCGGAAGATGCGGCTGGCCAAGCGCCTGGGCGCCCTGGCGGGGACGTCGCCCGGCGACGGCAGCGGCAGAGAGGCCTCAGGGAGTAGCTCAAGCCCGCCCAGGTCATCAACGGCAACGTCCTTGGACCACGGGCCCCCGCTGCACTCGGCCTGGGCGTCGTCCGTCAACATCGCGCCGCCCTGGAGGTCCACGACGACACCAGCATCCTCGAGGCGCTGCCGGGCCGCGAGAGCATCGGCCTCGTCAGAACACGATACGCGCCCCAGCCCGAGCGCGGAAGCGAGCATCGGGACACGGCAATGCATGGATCACCACGCTGCCCACAGGGCTGCGTCAGCCACGGCGCCCTCGCCCTCGCGGCGCAGACCCAAGCCCCCGAAGGCGCCGCAGAGGCGCATCTGTCGCAGCGCGCCTTCGTCCAGCCGCCGGGCGACCACCGCGTGCTGCAGCGCCTCCTCCACCGCGTTACTCACAGGCTCGGCCACTGCGCCCAGCACCGTAGAAGGTGCCAGCCGCGCGTCGTAAGAAAGAGCATGAGCAACGGATTTGGACAGAAGCGACCACGCCAGGTGGGCAGCTGTGACAGCGGGCTGCGCGGCCGCGAACTCCTCCACGCGCCGCGCCAGCGCGGCCGCCTTGCGGGCCCTTGCGCGAGCGGGGCCAAGCAGCAGCCCGTCGCGCCCGACCTCGGCAGCGAACTCGCCCTGCACAGCCCCGCCCAGGAGCTCCAAGCCACCCCAAGCACGGGGCAGAAGAGCGGCCAAGCGCCCGAGATGCTGCGCAGCGTGGCCAGGCTCGGAATCGTCGCAGCTCGGCGCCCAGAACTTGCACTTGTGGTTCCGGACGCGGTGGCCTCCCTGCGCAAGAGCGCCCTGTAGCACGGGCCAACTGTCCGCGAAGTGCGCTGCTTTGGAGAAGAGGTACGTGTCGTCCTGGTACCCGACTCGGCCCATGGCGTCGTCCAGCTCCGGCACGGCCTCCAGGCAGTCCTCAAGGCCCATCGCGAACATGAGCTGCATGAGGCGCGCGCCCTGCCATCCGCCACGCGTGGCCCAGGAGCGGCGCCAGCGGCCGTCAGCGCGCTGCCAGACCGCCGTGCGGCCTGTCCGCCACTGCGCCGCTGCCAGCGCTGCTATTGCAGGGAGGCGCTTCCGGCATCCGCGCAGGCAGCTCGACCGGAAAGCGCGGCCATACGCGTTCTCCAAGTCGACGCTCGCGGCCACGAACGGGTCGTCCTCTGGCTCTGACGCGGCCTGGACGCGCTCAGCCCAGCTGCGGGCAAGGTGCACTATGAGCGGCGCCCCGTCCGGCGCGCCGCACCCCAGCTGGCGCGGCTCCAGTGCAGCGAGCATGGACGCGGATTCCTCATCGATGCACGCGCCCTCCACGAGCTTCATGAGCACCTCGGCGCATGCGATCGGCCGCAACTTGCGCTGCGCTGGCTGGCCCGGCCCCACGCGCGCCCAATCGCAGTCGACGGGCGTAACGCAGGCAGCCGTCCAAAGCTCGATGGTGGCGTCCTGCGCCCTGCCTTGCTTCCGAACCTGGGCCCGCCAAGCCAGCGCCTTGATGCCGCCCTCCACGGAGCCGACATTCTTGAGGAATGAGTTCCGCCATGCGCTCGGGCCACACTGGGCGGCCTCGCGCAGGACGCGAAGCTTCCGCCGAATGGTGCGGAACTTCGGGGCCGCAGCCTTTCCCATGTCCTTGAGTGCCCGCTTGCACTCGGCCTCGACCTCGTGCATCTCGTCGCCGTCGACTGCCTCCGCGACGAGCTCGTCGATGCGGACGGCGGTGGCCTCCGTGAGAGGCGTGCGGACGGCGCCAGTGAGGAGCGCCTTTGCCGCCCGGACTGCGCCAACACTCTGCTTCCCAGCTGCCTACCGGAAGGCCTCCTCGTCGCTGAGGGGCTGCCCCGAGAGCTCCACGCCACGCCTGGCGGCAGCGCGGGCAGCGCGACTCGTGGCAGCACGCAGCTCGGCGACGTATTCCTCCAGCAACAATCGCCAATCGCCCCGCTCCGCCACTTGCAGGCGAGACCGGACCATGGCGGCGCAGGGGAACTCCTGGGCGTCAGCGGGGCCGGGCGGAGGCTCAGACTCCAGCCCCTCCTCTCGCACCTGGGGCCGATGGCGGAGAAGGAGGGTCGGCGCCAGCCACAGCAGCCGGGAAGACCTGGCAGCCTGGGCGACCGCGCCACGGGAAGGCTGCCGGCTCGCAGCGCACTCCGAATCGACGTGGGCATTCAGCAGGTCGCGGAGGACGACCCCGACTCTGCTACGGAGCTGACCCAGCGCCCGCTCCAGCGTCGGCAGTGCTGGGAGGTCCACGGCCTCCTCCAGTAGGGAATCGAAGTCGGAGTTGGCGAGCACGTGGATGGCCCCGCGGATGTCTTCGCCTGGCCCTCCTCCTCCTTCATCTCTA